TAAGATGAAGTCAAGATTCAAACTGATCTGACGAACTTCAAGGTAGAATGTTCTACAACACTAGATTTTTTTTTTTTTGAGGGGAGGAGTGCTCATTTTATATTCTTATTAAACACTGAAACACCACTTACACTTACCGTAAACTGTCTGAATGTTTATTAGGGTAATGATAACTACCTAAATAAACTAAAATACAGAATGGTTCGAGCACAGTCAGTCTTTATTTCTTCCTCACAGTCAGGGGCACATGGCCATTAGGTTTGAAAGCATCCTCCTCATACCCTTCATTCCAACCATAATAACTAAGTATCTTCACGTGTGCCATGACCTTCTATGTCTTCATACTTTGCCCATGTTTTTCCCCCTTCTAGGCATGTCCTTTTTCAATCCTGTCTCCCCAGATTGATTTGCCATTCAAAAAAATATTTACTAAAATGCTTGTTATGCACCCGGCATTGTTCTAGACACAAGACATAGAAGAGTGAGCCACACAAAGATTTGGCCATCATAGGCTTACTTTCATTGAACTTCTATTCCTTTATCAATACTTGACTCAAAGTCAGCTCTTTGATAAAAATTTCATTTTATATCTCTTAATTTCATTTTATATCTCTTAATTTCTACTTCTAATTTCTACTAGTATATTATATACTCCTTACTAAGTATATAATATTTTACTACAATTGTTTATGTACCCGTCTCATCCTCTAGCTTACAAACTCTTTGACATAAAGAACTCTTTATTGTTTAAATTTGTATTCCCAGATCTTAGAAAAATACCTGGTTCATAAACAAGTGCTGAATAGACATTTTGTGAATAAGAAAATAGAAAATTATATAAGATATTTGTCTGAGATGCCAAAGCTATCTTCAATATAAATCAAAAACCAAAAATACTGAACTGAGAAAAAATACCATAATTTATCAAACTCAATCACGAAAAAAGTGACAGTAACAAATAATTAAAAATATATGTATATATTATCTGGATGCTTTTTAGTGTCCAGGTTTTTATTAGATGCTCTATTAAACAAGAACAACTTAATTTATAATATTTAGCCAGCTGCCATAAGTTTAGAACTATTATGCAACCTCACAGTCCAATATGTAAAATAAATATAACAGTCTTCATCACAGTTAAGACTTAAAGTTAACAATCAAGAGCTCATTTACAACACCATTTCTTCAGTGTTCTACTGCAATAGCAAGAAAGTTGCTACGGATTAAAACAGAGACATAGGAATACCAGTAGTTGTACAAGGTATGAACAGTTTGCACATGTGTATTTATTTCTGTTAAATGTCATCATTTTAATGTACTTTAAATTTCTTCTGAAGAGGGTTATGATTTTAAGAATTAAAGCTGGGCTTAAAACACATATCTATTTTTAATTATTTTCTTTTATATATTTCGAAAAGTTCAGAAATATTTTTCATTGATTTCACATAACAATAGACACATCAAACACCAACATGCTAACAACAAACATGAAATCTGTAAGCAAGTTCCCCTTTAAAAATACAAGCTATGTAATAATACAGCCTATTGATTGTAGAATCATAGAATCTTAGATCTAGAAAGGCCAATGATTGCCAGCATATCTCCAGAAGCTAAGAGGAAATAAGGAAGGATTCCCTACAGGTTTCAAAGAGAACATGGCCCTGACAATACCTTGATTTTGGACTTCTAACCTCCAGAACTGTGAGACAATACATTTCTGTTGTTTTTAAGCCATACAACTTACAGTACTTTATTACAACAGCAGTAGAAAACTAATACACCTACCAAGTCTTTGAACAAGGCTATTTCTTTTTTCTTTATTTTTTTAAATTTTGCTAGAGGGTACATACACTCACTGGAACACTCACTGGAGAGGACAAGGGGAGGAAAAGGAAGGATAAAGTACTCCCCTTAGGGGATGGCCACACTACAATCCCCTCTCCTCCATGGAACTTTCTGCATGCACACACATGCACCCAGTGTGTTCTTTAAGCCACAGAGTCCAGGACTTGAACCATGGAGTTGGTGAAGTAAGATTCAACTGCCTTAACCACCAGGCCACTCACTGCCTGGCACAAAGACAGTTTCAAAAGGCAGAAAAAGAATTTTTTTCTTCTCTCTTTTGTCTCTCATTTTCTATTTTTCTTTCTTCCTTCTTTATTTTATTTTATTTTTCTTTCTTTCCTCTTTATTTTTCTTTCTTTCTTTTCTGATGACTTCTCTGTTTACAGGCACGACTGTGTTTTCTCATTGGTCTCTCTCCACTAAGGACCTGCCCTAGTCACTTACTCACATCCTTAGCTATCAAGCTTCTTTAGGATGCGTTGTATCCTTTTGCCACTACTTTTTTTTTTTTTTTTTTTTGAGAGGTTTTTACTACAGGACGTGTGTGCTCACCAGAAAGACAGAGACAGACAGAAAGCGAGAAATCACCCCCCCCCCCCCTTGGGGGACGGCCACACCACAATCCCTTCTCTTCCATTCTCCTCTCAGGATCTTGGGCATGCATGCATATGCACCCGGCGTGAGTTTAAGCCGTCAGGTCCGGGACTCAAACCACGGTCAACTCCATGGGAGTCCAGTGACATAGTCATTACGCTAACTGCTGGTCCCACTTTTGCCACTACTTCTTTGTCCCCATTCTCACACTACCATCTTTTGCCATCTAGCTTCAGTGCTTGGCAATGAGCTCTTACTGACAAATCCTCATGCTTCTAAAATTCTCAGTGGTATAGGTACTGCCATAAAACCAACAGTAACTGCTGTGGGTCACTCCCTTCTTACTGACACTCTCTCCTCTTTTGACTTCCATGACATGAAAACTATTGTTCTCTGACTACATCCCCACTGTACTTCACTGTTCCTCTTGCCTCCTAAAGTTGTACCCCGAAGGTTTCAACTTTAAGGGGTTCTTTCTCTCCTTCCTCCTTCTCTTCCTTCATATCTTCCCTTCTCTCTTCCCTAACCTCTCTGACTATAGGGAAGTATCATTTAATTCAGTGTTTTAACTATCATCCCTTTACAGATACTTCCCGAATCTAAATATTTTGCCCAGGGCTACCCTCTGAGTTTCCTACTCATGTTGCCACACAGTATAATTCTGTAATTAAAAACAGCATCAGATAGACCTAATTTTTTTTTTGGAGGGGAGAGGTTTTTGCTATAGGGCACGTGCGCTCGCCAGAAAGACAGAGAGAGACAGAGAGACAGAAAGCAAGAAATCACCCCCCAGGGTGGATGATCATGCTGCAATCCCTCTCCATTTTCCTCTCGGGATCTTGGGCATGCACACACGCATGCCTGTGAGTTTAAGTCACTGGGACTCAAACCATGGTCAACTACATGGGAGTCCAGGGTCTGGAACTCGAACCACAGTCAACTACATGAGAGGCCAGCGACATAGCCATTATGCCATCTGCTGGTCTCCAGGATAGACTTAATTTTAACCCCCAGTTCTGTCACCTACTAATTCTCCAACTCCAGGCAAGGCACTTAATCTAAGTATCAGTTTCCTTTCCTGTAAAATAGAGTCAATAATATCTACTTCACTGGATTGTTGGAAGAATTAAAAAAAAATGCATTCTGAAAGTGAATTATCTATGCCTCTTTCATAGAAGTCTTCACTTTGCTGGTTTTTTCTAATTGTGAGATATCACCATACATTGGTCCCACTAGCTTATTAAATTCAATATGTATGAAATCATCCTACATTGCTCTGTCCCCATACCATCATCTGTTAACGAAATCTTAACCTACTTCAAGGAAAAAAAAAAAGCATAAATTCTGATCAAGACTGTGGGCTCATTTAAGAACATAAAAGCCTTAGAAATCCTCTCCTGAACTATTTCAAAATATAAAACAAAATTAATATTATCTTACCTACTGTTACAGTCACTATACATTTTCTCATATTGCCACACCACTCCTGTTAGACAGTGAGGTCCATGGCAGCAGAGACATTTTACATACCTCGTAAATAAAGAAACTTACATGTTGCAAGCACTCAAAGAATAGCTGGTTTATATGACAGAAGTTCAAAACTCTCATAAGTACCTAGGTTCACAAGGTAGGTTTAAAGACCAACCTCACCTTCTTTTCAGTAAACCTCCTAATCCCATTCATAATAATAACGAAAGTCAACACTTAAATACTGATCAAAATTCAATACTCAGAACACTCAACTACAAATTCAATATTAGCAACTAACATTCAATGAAGACTTACTATGTGCCAGTCACTGTTCCAAGTACTTGATGTGTTAAATTCTTCCACCTGTAAATGACCTAATTTGGAGCAAATTATTTAACATGTCGGTGCTGGGTTTCCTCCTCAGTAAAATTAGGGGGGGAAAAGTCTCTGTGTGGTGTGTGTGTGTGTGTGTGTGTGTGTGTGTATCTGTATACACATATATCTATGGCAAAGAGTTCTTTTTAGTTCCACAAGACAATTCATATAATGTGATTAGTACAATGCTGGCATGTAACAGTATATACTCAATAAAAGTTAGTTGTTTTTAAAGTAAAAAACATACTCCAAAAAAAAAGGGAAAAGAAAAAGAAAAAAACATAAGCACATAGAGTATGGAAAACATCTTGTCCTTTAGCTATAGTCATCAGTAAATAAAACTGGATAAACCTTCAAAGTGAACAAATTTGATTTTTAAAACAAAGTGGTGTCAAAGAAAGTATCAGTAAGTTTAATGAAGAAAGATAAATTAAGTAAGTCTTTTGGAAATATGTGTCTGTGAGTGTGTGTGTTTGTGTATGTATACACATAAACATACACCTGCAAAATAAATAATCAACTGTAGCATCTATTTTTAAATAAAATTTAACACCATGTTTTTATTCAAATATAGAGTATATAGAAATTAGTCTAAAACTATTTTTCTAGATATTAACTTGAAATTATAGTAAGAAGCTTTTTAAAATTAAAATGACCAAAAACTGATCCTAAGTAACATTTTAAAAGAAAAATTTTCAAAATTGGGGGATATTTACCTCTTTTCATTTATTTTGCTGGACACACTGATTGCAGCATCCTGAGATGGAAGCATATAAAAATGATTGCAGTTTCTTTCCTAAAAAGAGAATGGAACTAGGTATATGCAGAATTGCACATATGAGCAGCTTATTTTAACCTAGTAAACAACTTTTTATGGATCCCTTATTTTAAAGAATATTAGGAATAGAGTAAGTCCTCAATTGTTTTTAGAAACTCATATAAATGGTTAATCATGCTCTGAGGTTCTGCTATAACAGGAATCAGAATCTGGACTAACTCCTGCCTCTGCTCTTTGGTGCTAATCCTTCTATAATTTCGGTGGAGAAAAGAAAAAGAGAGAAAAAAGAAAAAGAACCAAATGGACAGTAAATTTCCTTCCTTTCTTAGGGCACAAAGGAGAAGCCCATGGTGAAGAAATCTTAGGGCTGGACTATACAGCACAGCGGTCAAGCACAGCTCAAAGGAAGTTGATCTTACGTGGCGATCATGGTTCAAATTCCTGGCTTGGTCAGTCCGAAATATGCTGGACATACACACAAGAGCCCGAGATCTTCTGGGCTGGAGGCCTGGAATCCTCTCTCTCTCTCCCTTCCTCCCTCCCTCATACATATGCTCTATCATGAATAAAGGGGGAAAAATGCAAAAGAAAGAAACCTTCAGCAACTTGCATCTTCTCAAGGTCTAGCAAAGGACATCCTAGCTCTCTCTTCACCTCTCAATAGCCTCTTCTATCTCCTACCCTTACAAAGCCACAGAAGTAACCTTAGAGTAATCTTTCCTAGATAAGAACAGCAGACAGGGGCATATATCTGAATGGGAAGAAGCATGTTGCTATGTTCTCCCCGGTCTCCAGACAAAAAAAAAAAAAAAAAAAAAAGCCAATACTTTCCATCAGTCTACAATAAGGTAGGCTAAAACAGAAGAGTCTTAAGCACGTTCCCCCTGTTCTTAATCTAAATCTGACAATAGCCCCCAGTAGATTGAAGGAGAGAATAAAATTAAATACCTAACAGCTGAATGGTCGGCAGAAAAAATATGGGCCATATTAATGCTATTTATCAGAATAATTATCATTCCCATTTCTCCTATTTAAGTTGAAATTTAAAGGGGAGGTTGGGAACAGATGAACAGAGAACCTTGATTACAGTCACTTCACACACAATTCTACTTCTCTATTTAAGTTTAATTGTATTTCTAGCGTCTGTTTCAAGTAGGATCACATGCATTCATTTTTCTTGTTAATTATTACAATAAGTAGGCAATGTGTAATGGTATTTATCAACTGCTCACTACTACAAAGAAATCACATAAGGGTTGACACAACTGATTGTCCTGACCAGAGAAATGCATATAATAGTTTTACAATAATGGTTTTTTTAAAAAAGGAAGCTCTTTTTGTAATTCCTTTAAAGAATATTACATAGCCCTCCCAATTGATCTGAATGAATAATAGTGTCAATAACTTTCATGGCCAACAGCTCCAAAAATGGCTTTACTCCTTTATCTCTCAAGGAATAGCCACTTCCTTCCTAGTAGAGTTCAGGTCTTGAGATGCTTATTCCATATATTTTGTTCACCGACTGACTCTTCATGGTATCATTCCCCATGTAGAATGAAATTGGCTTTTACAACTGGAAGTTACAGCAGGGAGCAGAGTGTACAGTTGTCCTTTCACAGCAAGACTGTCCCAATAATTCCTGCACTATGTAATTTCAGTTAAAGCTGCTAACCATAGACTATAATTAAGTTTAACATTCAAGACCTTACTCTACCTCTCTGTAAAGTGTAAACACGATTTGGCACATAACCAGTATTTCTGAAGTGCCTGGATTCTCCTCCATTCATACGGCAGAACTGGCCATTGCACAGTGTAAGTTCGCTACATAGACACCAAGCTCTGAAGGAGACAGGAAACAGTATGCTAACATGACTATAGTACTGATGGATAAAAAAACATAACCCCAAGGCTAAGCTGCCAAATAAGTAGTGAATTAATTTCTGTAAAGTACTCCAATATTACAAAGGTGTGTTGAAAGGTGTCTGCTCATGTTTCAAATTAAACGCACTGCTGGTCAGCATTAGCACCTCAGCTTTGAACACCAGCCATTTGCCTATAACACTTCAGGGGCTAGGAAAAACGGATTTGCCGTTCACACTGGAATAATTAGAACATGTCAGGAAGAATTAATTTCCTCATTTTTCAAAAGGATACACAGAAATTACCATGTTATTATATGACAGGGTCCCTTGGAGAATTATATTAAATTTAATTTCTAGCGCAGCCCACACAACAAATTAAAGTCATAAATAAGATGGAAAGAAGCGGGACGCAGAGCATATGTTTATGGCAATGAGTGAAGCCAAGGGACCAGAAACAACTATCTTCATTTCATTTTATTTAAATCAGCCAGACACTGTGTATCTGAATGACAGCACTTGTTAATGGTGCTGAGATTATAGGCTCCTTAATTTTAGAATACAGAAGCAGTCAGTCAGTGTCTAAAATAGTACATTTCCTACAATGCAAAAATTAGTATAAATTTACTTCCCTTTCAAGTCCATTTCTTTTTGCCCTGCAGCAAGTTTAACAAAGATAAACTTATTTTTAATAATATTGTTTCTCTATTTGTCTTCTCTTAGGGCAATTTTCTTGGGTCAAAATAGAGAGAGTGAGATAAAACAGAAGAGTCACCAGAATAAATGAAATTTGCAAACAGTATACGTCCAGAATACACACTTTCTGCTCTGCTCTGTAAATATGTCTACCCACAGAGCTGACAGACAAATTTCTCCATAGGAAATTTACCTCTCATTTTAAATGAAAAATGTTTTTTTCACACTGCCTACTAACTTGAAGTGAAACCACAAAGGATATCGTTCAGCCACCCTAAAAGCGCTAGACTTTGTAACTATTCATTAAACCCGAACACACAAGTGGAACAGAAGAGATGCAGCAGCCCACACATAGCCACACTTGTGCCCAGAGACCCTCCTGTTGCCCTTCTCCTCCTGCTTGAGAATCTCTGCTCAGGTGTCACCTCCTTCCCTGTCACCTCAGTTAGGCATGAGCGTTCAAGAAAAGATTCTCACGTATAACCGTGTCATCCACTCTGAAATCAGCCCAAGTCCAGCATAAAAACATTAATAAAACTTTATTATATGTGTTATAAAATATTAATTATATTGTCAATTTCTTCCCTGTACACTTTTATTTGTTATTTAAGTTATGGGTAAAGTAGCCACACTGGAAGCAATTATATATGCCTCTTCTCATTTTTTCCTCTATACTACAAACAATACTCGATCTGTCCTATAGAAACTGTTGCCTTTGCATTAAGAAGTCAGCACTCTATGCAACATTTCGGATTAGCATTTTAAATCTACCAGCAGTCCAAAGGCTTTGAATACCAATCATCACAAGAATTTATATTGTCTTGTTTACTGTTCAAAAATTTTTAAGAATGCATAACTATGTCTTTTAACATGAAATATGCTCGATATATAGCAAATGCAAAAAAAAAAAAAAAGACAGAAACAATTAAGGGGTGATGTTTAGACAGCTATTTAAAATTACTAAAGTGAAAACAACTTAAAAATTGCCACAAAGGAGAATCACTAAGTGTAGCTAGCTTTTTTCCTTCTTTCAGTATAGATTTAATTTCCACATACTCATCTACAAATTCTAATTCATAAATGTTGAGATGATTCACAGCTCCAGGAACATTCTGGGTTTTTATCATGCTTAATAACTGAAGACATTCTTAAGGTAAAAAGGGAGTTTGTACACTTTAAGAAATGACTGTCATGAAACTGAGCACTCCCTTGGGTGCAACAAACTTTAAATAATTTGTGAATCAATTAACTGGCGACTCTCTTCATAACACAGATTTCACACTCCCAGGTCACTGCATTATCAGCCTGATACGAATCATAACATTTTGGAGAAAAGTTCATAATTGAAATCATTAATTAATTTAACAGGACTTTTAGTTATGCATTGCATTAAACAGCTGTAAAGGAGCAGAGATTAATTAGTTGTTTCTCTGACAATTTTCACTGCTGCTATTACTTGGTGGAAAACTTTTCGACTTGTAAACCACATCAGGCTTTCTATAATCTGGTAGTCCTATCCAAGCAATTTCAGGTTGAAGGAATGATGATTTCTCTGAAATGAAGTCTGGAGCCTCTGAGGTGTTTCTCTGGGAAAATAAAAGTTTTTAATAACAAATATTGTAAAACCTGACTTTCTCCTTATGTGAAAACGAAACTTGCATCTGGAATAAAACCTTAAAAATACATCTCATAAGTGACTCACAGAAATGAAGAAACCAAAGTTATGACCAACTGACATTTCCTGAAGCTATTAAAGTGATATGCATTCACATGTTTTGCATATTCATTTTTTCTCTTAAAAATAGAAATAAAAACTATTAGCCATAAATGAACTTTATTTATGTTAACACCCAACATCTTTATCTCTTTGAATTTAGAACCATTCAACTGACCTACAAGTTGTCTAGTGAATTAGTTGGCTGGTAAAGTACAGAAAAGCTCCAAAAGGATCGTTTTAAGTAAAAGTGACTGGCGATTTTTGCAATACATCTTCTAAAGTCCTTTCCTATCACATCCTACTCTACACAACTTCATGTTTTTGTTTGTTATTATTTGCCAGAGAGTGAATACACTTTTGTCAGAGAGAGACAAAGAGGCAGAGGGGCATGGTCATGCCAGAATCATATCTCCATTTCTCCATCCTGTTGTGAGTTTGGGCACACACATGTGTGCTCCCAGCCTCTTTTTAAAGCTGCGGGGCCAAGACTCAAACTGCATGGTTGACCATGTGGGATCTGACTCCCTTAACCACGAAGCTAAGGGGCTAGCCCACAGCATCACCATTTTAGCAGCTTAATAGCTCACATGATATAATAAAGGTAACAGAAAGAATAGAGACTCTAATAAACACAATTCTCAAAAAAAAAAAAAAAAAAAAAAAAAAAACAAGAACGCATCTTACTGAAATTAAACATTTTCCAGGTTCCTATCAATGAATTACACTTCTACCAAATATCAAGTATA